GCTTTGTAGTATCGTGGTAACCCAACCTTTTTGTAGCGATCAGTTGCTACGCTTTTATCGGCCCAATTCAGTGAGGCGCCCTAGCAACCACTTTTTGGTGGTTTGTATGACCTGTATTCACCATATTTGTTTTAAGATTATGAAGGACTGGCAAGTGAATTTTCCAACAATCTTATGAGTAGAGCTGATGCCTTCAATCAATTTCACCAAAAAGATGTTTCCATTCAGACTGGAGGGTCTTATTAACACCCTCAGCGGGAGTCGAATCGTGAAAGTGCGGCGCGTCAACTCGACACGTTAACGACTGTGCTACAATGCTACAAGTGCGTTTGTTCACGTGGCAGATGTGATTTTCAAGGAAGGCCGGACATTTTCCCATATCATATTCTTTAGTGGAATTGTCGATGAAGCAAACTTATATTTACAATTACAATTAACTACACTACTCATTTTTCATTTATAAGTAGTAGGCTTTGTTACTACCACTACATCAGTTATACGAAATGTATTTTGCTAGTTTGGTATTGTCGTGGTAATCCACAAAGTTGTGCTCTTTCGCCCGTCAGTTTTTAATCATTTTTGCATTCTTTAATTTTTACTGCCTATCATAGCCATGCCAAGGCGAAGCGATTGAGGATGTACTCTGTGAAGGCTTGCAGCCCTGCCCACTACACGGTGGTTGGTCGCCATGGTCACCATGGTCAGAATGCTCGCAGTCCTGTGGTCCCGGAGGCACACAGAGCCGCAAGCGAGCATGTGATAGCCCAGCGCCGGCAAATCAAGGCCGTCAATGCTCCGGATCCGATTTTATGGTGGGTCAAGTTAGCGGGCAATAAATTGGGTCCCACTATTATGGACATGGATGATGGGTTGTTGAAATCTATTAAAGTAGTATCACTTTATAAAGGGGAATTATCATGACATCAACACAATGTTTACCATATATTATGCCCAAAAATTAACGTCTTATAAATGCTTACATTGCGTTATTCCAAGATTAATTCAAGTGAATGCTATCAGTCCTTAATGCTTAACTTTCCATATTTATACAATAAAAGCAATCCTTAATTGAGTTTAAGTAAGAATAAATATAGCAAAGACTTTGAATGTACCCAAGAGAGTTTACCTAATTCTATTCTGGTTATATGTGCCTAAACCTGCAAATACTTAATGTCTATTATCTAGTTCCAGTTGATCCTATTTTCTAGCCAGAGAATGAATTTATTTACAATGAATTAGTTTTTTGCGGAATGTTCGTGTCGTCAGGACGACCTCGGTGAGCCCGTCTTGTATCTGAAGTCCCTTGCCATTGTGGTCAAGATACATTCCAGCGTCGGATGAATTCCCTAACGCTTTTACGGCGGCTTCTGTAAATTTTGCCCATCTTCGCATTAAGCTCTACCTTCTCAGAGCGACAAGTGAAGTTCATCTCTCGGCTAGACAGAAAATTGGCCAATTGTACCTAGTCCCTATGGCGACTTTAAGCTTGAGCACAACCCGTGGCATAGCATCTGGTAAGGCACCAAGTCTACGATACTACGCTGGGAAGTGTATGACTCGAAGCAAGATTCGTTTATCGTGCTTCCCCTGACAACATGACCAAGTTGCGAAAACGACATTCAACTACTTCTATGGCAGCTCCACCATCTTGGACTTCATATCTGCAAATTTTTTAAGCATATTAACTATGAACACATTTGGCCTTCAATGCTGTACTTCGAACTTTAGACGAGGCCATTTCTGGTCGTAGCCTCACCAAAATAGTTAAGGAAATAACCTTGTCGAGCAGTTCCGATCGTTTGGAACCAGCATCTGGTGATTTATCTGTTTCCCATTTCTTTGCAGGTTCGTGCTTGCAGCAGTGCAGACTGTGCCGTTGACGGAGCCTGGGGCCCATGGAGCTGGTGGTCGCACTGTTCTCGCAGCTGCGGTGGGGGTCAGCGACGCCGCATGCGCCAATGCAACAGTCCCTCACCGGCGTTCGGCGGCGTCGACTGCGGCTCCGAGGCCGACGGCGTGCAATCGGAGGACTGCAACATGGAACCCTGTCCAGGTAGGCTTCTCTCAGAACGACCTCGAGGTAGTCTGTTGCGTTTGATGTGAGCCTTGAACAGAGGCGGTGGTTCTTGTGTCATTTTCCCTAGTTCCCGATATGCGCCGAGTGACAAGGTGCGCATGGGTCTCTTGTTTCGTGCGGAGGTAGGTCGAATGATGACTTTTGTTGACCTGCAGTCGTTGGGGCTGATACAGCCCCCATCGGTTCGGCTGAAAATAGGCCGATCTTTCGGCTGTTTTGCCACTTGACAGACAGAATCAGAGCTGAATCTCATTTTCACCAACACTCCAAGTTATTATGAGATGTATCTACCCTATTTTGTTTAAGGTGATAGATGGACTGGCAGCAAGACTGGTAGTCTCGACAACCTACTTATAAACACAAAACTCCAAGTTGTTGTTAGGGCGATTTT